TCTCTCTCTCTCTCTCTCTCTCTCTCTCTCTCCCTCCCTCTGTCACTCTCTTTGTAGAGCGCACGTCGAACGAGGATAGGATACATAGCCCGCGAGAAGGAGGTCGCACGTAGCCTCTTATTATATATACCGAGAGAGAATGTCAAAGCGACGAGGCCACCCCGGCGATTAAAACGGATTCTGTGAGACGTTGGTCGGCGTCAGGTAAGTTTCAGTGACGTTACTGATTTTGTGATTGCTGCTGGCTGGATGGCGAGGTGCTCGACTGTTGCTGAGCTGAGTGCTGCTGCTGTTGTTGTTGCTGCGTTGCCGCGGCACCCTGTTGAGACGTGGTGCTGCCGTCTCTTCGAGAACGAGTGCCAGTTTCTTGGCTGCTGCCACGACCTGCGCGAGAGCCAGTCACACCTGCTCCAGGTGCACCAGATGACTGTAGGACCATAGCGCGAATTCTTCTCTGCGCCGACTGCGTGTCAATCAGAGAGCAAATTATCGATACGTGTTTTCATTCGCAGCCGTGGAAATTTCGAATGGTAAAAAAAAAAAAAAGAAAAAAACGCGCGAAAATACCTGTACAGAGAAGAAGGGGCCAATTATTTGGACGGTGGCCTCTTCGTCGGCAGAAGGAGATGTAGACTGTTGCTCCGACAGCTTTATGATGCTTCCGGTTACACGTTGCAGTTCCCGAACGTTTTGCCCACCTTTCCCAATGATTCGGCCAACCTGAGTACTCGGCACGAGGATCTCGATCGTCAATCGAACGTCCTCGGTGCCAGCCACGAAACCTTCCTCGCGCATCTTCTCGAAGATCAGGTATTGAGCCTGTAAACCAATCGACAATGTAGCATCCTAGTTATTACAATATCTTTAGTTTAATTATATCAGATGGCCTGTAATGTTTTCTTTTCGAAGAGAGTCGTTAATAAAAAAAAAAGGAGTTTATTTGAGTTGCTAATCTGTGTCTTTTGTCTTGTCTAAATAATCTATTACTTTACCAGTAATTATTTATCTATAACTTTATCAGCAACAGTCATTAAATAAATATCATTTATATTTTATCTCTACAATAATGTTACGCGATTGTGTCGTGTTATAAAAGTGATTGGATCGTTCGATGGGAGAAAAAAAGAAGAAACAATGTCGAAGGTTGTAACGGGACCAACTGTACATGTAGAACGACATGTCATTGGTACGGGTAAACCCTTCGTGTTAATTTTCCTGCTGTTATCAAGACGATGCTTAAGATAAACGGCATCCTCCCAAATGAGCAGGGTTTTTTTCTCTCTCTCTCTCTTTCTCTTCGTCTGCCCTCGAACACCGCGCCATTACCGCACCGCGCGCGCAGCGGAAATTTTATCGACCGATGATAAAACCAGACAGGAGAAACATATATCGAGATTTGAACGTGGAACCTTGGCGTTTGCAGGCTCACGTTCAAACCGCCAAGTCACGAAGCGATCACGCTATATCCGATAGATGCAAGCTACACGCTGTAACTCTACTTAATCGGCACACTATACTTTTTCTACGTGCAAAATCTTTACACAAAGATAATATCTCCCTATTCCTCGAGTAACGTACGAATTTTTCACTGCTTCAAACTCGATTCTTGGGATTAACACGTTGAATGCCATACTACGCTGTTATTACGCAACTTGTCCAAGAGAACTTGACACAAATCTGTTATGCACGCGATTAATGTTATATGTTGCAACGAATGTTACAGATATCTGTCTGCAACAGATAACTTGAAGTTTAATGAGTTTATCCTACGCGTGTCTTCGATTTTCATTTATTTTTCACGGAAGAGTGAAAAACTGGGGGTTAAATTTCTTCGCGAAGAAAACTGCACCAAGAAACTAAGAAAATGGCCCCAAAATTGGGCGACTATTTTGCAGAAAAGGTTAAGAAAAAGAATTCGAAGATAGATAGAACTAAAGCAAAACACTGTACCAAAAAGTTG